ATATTTCACAACAATAAAATCTGTAAGATAGGTTTTTTCCAGGCCAAAATAATTAACGATTTTTATGCTTCCAAAACAAAATATAATTGCTTCAATCCGATTTAATATCTATTTTAATATCTATTTATAAACACAATGTAATCATTTTCTCCTTTAAATGCATTTTTGGTTTTATGGTTATAAATATAATTAAATATGTATAGTTCTAATTTGTAAGGTTTATATTGTAGAATGTCATATTTATGAAATTAAAGGACATAATTAAATGATATAGCTAATATTTTTTCATTAATAACAATATTAAAATAATCATTTATTTTAGGAAATAATTATATTGGCTATAGACAAAATATGGCAAGAAAGTATCAGTTATCTATGCTTTTTATTTACAATTTTAATTGTTTTCAATGTAGGAAACATTCTGTTTTATATACACTTTTATAGTTGAAAACTAAAATTGGTTGCCATGTGTAATAAAATAGATATATCTTAAAATAAATTGTGTAATTTCTTTTATTGATTTTTGGATATTCTAATGGAATTCAGAATGGAGTTTTTATGGGATAGAAAATAAATACTCTCTTAAAGGATACATATATGTACTTTTTTGCTATCCAGTAGCAATGTGCTCAATGTACATAAGAATGAATATATTGTTTACATATATATTTAGTAAACTTAGAAGCAGGTTATATAGAATATATATAGATTATATATATAATCTATATATCTGCTATATATTATCTATATAATCTGTATAATCTATATAATCTATATTATATATAATCTATATATCTGCTATATATAATCTATATAATCTGCTATATATATAATCTATATATAATCTAAATAACCTGCTTCTAAGTTTACTAAATATATAGTTTACTAAATATATATATATATATGTATATATATATATATATATATAGCAAGTAAAGTTTAGAATTTTGGGTTCCAGAATTCGGATTCATGGTACATTGAAGAGGGCTATCCAGCTATCCAGCTGTCAAAGACAGGTTGTGTTCTGATTGTGCTCACTTTGCTCAGCTCTGAATGACATATTAAGTATTCTAGGCATTTTACTGTAGATACTGGTAAGGCTTTTTTTTATTATTTTTATTTTTTAGCATAACATTGGTTACCTTAAAGAAAAAGCATCATATATGGGTAAGACACTGTGTTTCCTTATTACTAATTATTTTTTTCCCTTCTCCGTGTAGCTCTGAAAATGAATTAAAACATTGAAATTGCCTAAGTATTTGGCTCTTTGAACATATTGTTCCGTGTAAGTAAAAGCCATTTCTTTTTTTATTTTGTCAGAGTTTACTATTATTTAAAATCTAAATAAAGGGAAATGGAAGTGTAGTCACATTCGAAAAAAAATAGAGTATTAGAAAAAACTCTGAATAAACTTTCTTTCCCTATGAACATACAAACTTTGAGGCCTTACTTCTATGCTATATAGTCTGAATTGATTCTTGTGAAAACTTTCTACGTCTAAAAAGGCCTTAATTTGTTGAAACACTTCACCTCAAATCTTGTATTTAATAAAGGTTATAACACATATTCACTGTAGTTTCCATGCTATTTTCTCTAAACTTCAGGTTTGGTTTCTAAATTGGGAGTCCTAAATTATCAAGAAAACATATTTTCAGGCTACATAGAGACCTTACAGAAGCTGCTTTTCTCATATCCCTATTGACAAGTTTATGTATGAGTTATGAATATCTATGTGAAAGTAAAGTAGTGATTTTTATTAGTGAAAAAAAAAAAAAGCCTAGCCCTAAGGAATCTATAATCCATACAGCACACTGTTGAAAACTGTAGGATTTCCTTGGATAACTTTGAGTCAAAATTTCACAGAACTAAAATATAACATTTCAAAAATATCTCAAAGCTATGAATGAGTTTAAAATTCATTATTATTTTTTTCCAAATCTAAAATTACAAAACTTATCTGGTTCTTATTTTTACCTGATTTCATGCTTTTGAAAAATGTTTAAAAATACAATGGATATTTGACTTTTAAGTGACATTTATATCAATTGAAGATAAACTTTACCAAAGACAGTTTTCTGTAATCATATAATTACTCTTGCCTAATTAGTGTTCTTTAACGTTGTCTTCCTTGAGTATATTTTGTATTTCATCTCTTCAGGCTCATCACTACTGTTTGATATGTAAATAATAGGTAAATCTCAGCACGTTGGTCTCCCTCCCAGGAACATTTTCTTTTATTTCATTGTATACCATAATATGGTCTTTACCATAATATGGTCTTTACCGTGCATTTACATGATATGTAGCTAGTGATCCTACTAGGTTATAACATTATATCACTGCAATGGAGCTAGAGCCATACTGTGTTAAGGAGCAGCATATGTTTTCTACTTTCAACTTGGAAGAATGATTTCCTAGCAACTGACACTGAAGATGTATCATTAACACATGGCTAAAATTGCTTAACTGCATTTTTTAGGAAATTCAGAACACAGAAACTTCTGTGAAAATTAAGATCATTTAACTTATATATAAGTTAATGATATATATGATATATATATAAATGATATATATATCATTTAACTTTTGATAAAAAAACTTTCAAACATATTTTAGAAAACAAATCATCCTTTATATTTTTAAATTGTATAGAGATACAATCTAATATTGAAATATATTTATAATAGCCTATATATTTAGTATTTAAATAAATTACTTTGAGAAAGTAAAATTTTTGTTTTGTTCTTTACATATTTTGTCCTTAAGAATGTGTCCTATGCCTTGTGTAAAATTGTCTAGTGAGGATAATGCTTATATATAAACACAAAATAAATATAATAAAAATAAAAATAGTATTTGCTCATTGACAAAATTTTTCGGTATCACTTGGAGGGTGGTGTTATTCATTAAATAAATATTTATCAAGCAATTACTATATGTAAAAGACAGCTTTGGTTGCATTGGATATAACAGCAAGAACAAGAAAAACAATCTTTGTGCTTATGGAGCTTACATTCTCAGAGTGAGAATATAAGGCAATAAAAATTGAATGTAGGAGACTGGCAAGATAGCTGACTAGAGGCAGCTGGCATGCACCTCTTCTTCAGAGAATAATCAGTTTATCCATCAAATACCCGTATTTCGAATAGTTGTTGGAGGAAAAAAAAAAAACAACACACACACACTTGATAACAGAAATGTGATGGGAGACACCAAGGGTGAAGGTAGAAGCCAGACTGCCTGATTGGAGCTACTAAGAGCCCTTAAGTGGTCATTGGACACAGACTTAGGGAAGGTTTAAGCAAGAGACTTTTGGGGCTCTATACTTATGCCTCAGTCCTTTGCATTTAGTTAGAGAAGAGCACCTTGACATCCATAGGCCTTCAGAGTGGTGTGGGGAGCTGTCAGGAGATCACACAAAGGCACTGATTAAGCTCGAGGTGGAGCTTCACCGGCTTCCAAACATTGGGCGTCTGTGCCCAGAGTCAAGCAGGGAGCCTTTCCCCTAGTGCTCTAAGCTCTCCACTAGGGGCCGCTACTACCCAGCTGCTGGGCCATGTCTAGCGATGGGACCTGGGAGCTCTTCCGTGCCCCGAAGTCAAGTTTCACCATCATTTTATAAGTTAATAGATTGTGTATTGACAGAATCGCTCGTCTTTTCAGTGTCCTTCTACAAAGACATATATTCTTTAATCCAAGAAAATATTCTCTCTGATTTTTGACACATATTTCAATAATTTTTTCATAAATTTTACTCTCTCTTTTTCTGCATTATCCTTGGAATAAAAAGAATGATGATGCCCTTGAAAGGCTGGAGGATATGTTGTGACATTTATCCTGTTCACACATATATGTGTGCACAGACACACACACACACACACACACACTTTAGATTATAAGACCAACCATATACTGATTTTTCTATTAAATAATGGCATTTGGATATAAGCCATAGCCCCTGTTTGCAAAAAATGGATGACTGAAATTCTGTATGTAATTTCAGAATTACACTGCTCAAACACATTATGCATTATGTGATGTGCATTTCAGATCAAATTGCTTTGCTAAAATAAATCCAAAAACTTCCAAAAAGGGCTTATTACTCTCATACACATCTTTCTCACACTTTGTCTTGATTGCTAAATAGGTCGGCTGCTGTACAATGAAACTGTGTTACAGTGCTCTCCAGAGGTGAACAATTTCTGAAAATCCTACTTCTCTACCATATACTAGCCCCTTAATATTAGCTGTCCAAATCTGTGCTCTCTTTTTCTATGAATATGATAGTTTATCCTTGCCTCGTACTCTTTAACAACTGTAAAAGCAAAATAAAACAAACAAAACTGAAGCAGGACATAGGAACAATGTATTCAAGTCTGCATATGCTTTTCTCCGGTGTTTTTCTTATTACTACCTCAAAAAACATTTCATTTTCTTTTATTACCAATTACAAAAAGTCCACTAATATTGAGCAGTAAATGACATTTTTAATTTTCCCCCAAGTTTTACAACCATCATATCTCCTATTATGTGAAGCACTACACTTGCATCTCGACCAAATTATTTTTAATGGCTAACCATATTTCATCTTTCTTCTTATAAAAGGATTCAGTAGAAAACATGGAGATGATGCGGTAGACATAAGCTGTATTCATTTTTAAGACCTGCTGTTAATGTATTTTGTTAAAGGGGAGGTTGCAAATGTGAACCCAGTATGTTAATGCAAAAACTATTCATCTGGCAAAATCATTCATGTGAGAAATGCATACGCAAATGATATAGAGTGAACCATTTACTCTGAAGAAAAAGCTGTCACTAATGCTTTACCTATCATCTTGTTTAAAGTTTCTGGCTTCAAATATATATGCATATTTGTCTCTGATAATGGAGTATCTCAACACAGAAAGATGTCTTTAACTTAATGGTGGGGTGGGAAGAGAGACTTGTTGACTTATGGATTTGAGGATACCATAAAACCTTTTAACTCAAACAGAAATTACCTTTATCCAACTTCACCCCTGACATCCATCTTTCCCAGTCTGGGCCAATGGTATATTTGAAGTCAGTTTTCTGTATGGCAGGAGAATCAAGAATGGAAAGCATTGTTGAATTTTCTGGGAATCAGGCACTATGAGGAGTACTATGGGCTGTAAGCAACCAAGATTTGTGGCAGTATCCATTAAAAATGAAACACTATTAAAATCACAGAGTTGGAGGAAACTTTAAGTTAGTTTTTGAGTTTCTGGTGAGTATTTTCTAGTTTGTTCCTCTTTAATTTTATTAGCATACATTCCAGCTAAATTTGACTCTTCCTTAAAGATATTGTATTTGAAAGAGATCTTCACATAATTTTTCCTACCTTCATCCTTTTAATCTGACGTTTAATAAACACACATATATATTTGATCATCAGTCTTTTCACAAATATTTACTGAGCATAAACTGTATGCCAGACACTGTAGTTGGTGGCAGTGATAATGATGACTTATATTTAGAGTCAGAAATAATATCAGAACTTGTAGATTAAAAAGAGGCCTGAATTCATCCAGCCCAAACACTTTATCTTATCATCAGGAAAACACTTTTTCTTGCAAGAGACTTCTGAGAGAGAAATAGATTATTTACCAAACACTTTAAGATATGAGATACTGCATTAGCCCTAATTTTGTGCATACTCATTAGCTAGAATTGTGTATTGGTAGTGATTCTTATGCACATTACTCTCCTCATCTTCATTTTCTAAAGAAATCATTATAAAATCTGTAATACCTAGAAGGAATATTTTGTCTCAGTAGTCAGGTTGAAAACTATCTGCTCACTCTTTGGTTTGCTTATTTTTCAAGTAAATGATTCTGTTAGAAGAGAGAACATCTACTCCCTTCTTCCAACAAACAAATGTCAAATAGAAAAGTTTTCATGTAGAAAAGCAAAAGAAAAATGAACTTAAAAAATATATGTAAGTTCCCAACTTGTACAAAGTCCTCAAGCTCCTTCCCACTATTGCTATCTCCATTTCAACAGACTCTTCCTCAAAATCTAAACATAATAATATCAACATCTTGGTGGCTAATGATAGACATAACTAATTCCATTCTGTCTGAATTCATTCTATCTATCTGTTGATTATTTCAAATCTACAATACTTTGACTCTTGACACTACATGCTATAAGTCACTGATTCTATGAAATATACAATGGGTATGAGAAATTTTATATTCTCCTATTACCCAAGAAAATTCAAGAAGCTTTGCTTTGTTTTGTAGTATGTATGGTAGCTGCAGATCACTTTTTAGTACCTCTGAGGTAAGTTGGTAGTTATTTATTAAACTTATATACATTTTCAAAAAATACTTTGTTTCCTGGGAGCAAATAACAGTTACTGAATAAGAAATCTATTTTTAAAGTACCTATTCTGTTTCAGAAACTTTATTATGTAATTTGTATATGTAATTTCATTTAATAGAAATCAAGCAGAAAATTTTACTACCATTTTATAGATGATGAAAATAAATATACAAACGATTATTTTTCCATTAAAAATGATGTCTTAATGCTATATTCAGATCTGTGAGTCCTCATAGTTGATAAATATGTGAACACATTTTATATTGTATTTTGGGGCATAAAATATTGCTTCAATGAAATTTAAAATGTTGTTATAAGGATCATTGTTAGTGGCAAAAATCATCATCTAGAATTTTAAGGACAAAATAATTCAGAAATTTTTTACCAATCTATAAATATATTTCCAAAGTGGATTTTTTCCTTAAAATGTAGTAATATTTTGGGTATCCCAGAAATGGAGATTGCCTCTGATTCCTGATATGATTGACTAAAAACCAACAGGTATGGGATCTATTGTTAAAAACAAAAACAGCTTAAAAAACAAGCAGATGCTGTGAAAAGCAACCACCTGAAAGTCCTGGAGAGTAAATAGAAAGAAAAAGACTCCAATAGAGGATGCACACACACTTTGAGTTGTAAACTAAGAAGAAAGACAAAACCAGACTGCAAAGCGGTAAGACATGGTATTTATTGGGGTCTTGCTAAGTTCAAAGATTCAAGGCAATTTCCTGGTTTTGGCTATTTTGTTTGTGTGTGCAAGGTTGCAGTCTGCACAGTCATTCTTTCTTAGAATGGCTTTCCCAACTCCATTTTAGAGCTCTTAATCAGAGGGATGCAATTTTGTGTATTACATTTCAGGACAAAAGACAGGGAAGTAAACAAGTCCCTGCATGTCTTAACGCTACTAATCTGGAACTAAAGCAGTTCATGTGGTATACACAGCGTCTACGGAGTAGATACAAAGAAGCCCACTCTTCTTAGCCTGGGAAACCAGAAAAAAGAAGCTGCGTAATTGTGGACGATGAAAAGATTAGAAGTATCTCAGAAGGGAAAGAGCTAAAGAGAGATTTCCAAAGCAGGCCTATCCACATTTTGACCAAACCTTGAACATGGATGAATCCATCCATACATGGATGAATCAGATTCAAATTAGCCCAGCTAAAGGAACAAGATCTGAGCTGAGAACAGAGTTGCCAGTTAAGAAACATTCTGCAATTTAAATGCAGATAAATATTTCTTGCTAAAATTAAGAAGAAAGTACTCACTGGAGAAAAATAACAGAACCCAGAATACCCAAAGCTAAACATTTTAGTATCAAAAATATACAATCACCGAAATATGAAGAAAGACAACTCGTTACACATCCACATGAAAAGAATGGTTAATGAGTCCAAAATCGAAATAAGCAAGATGTTGATATTAACAGACAAATGTCTTAAAGAACTTGTAATTATCCTCAATTAAACATGGTTTCCATAAATAAAAATCTCAGCAGAGAACTATCAAATCTCAGCAGAAAAATAGACACAAAAGAAAGGCAAACAAACATTTCTGGACTAAAAAACATATTATGTATGAAGTAACAACAACAGAAAACTGGTATTGAATAAAATATCAACAGCCACTCTCAGGCTGTTGTCCTTGCAGGAAGACTTGTTTAGGTCACATAACAATGAAATGCAAATGAAGTGGTGTTTCAGCATGCAATGAAAAGTATTCAGACAAGTTCATACCCAGTGATTTTCTATCAAAAGAAAGCGAACATCAAAGTTTTCTCTTACTAATTTGAGTTTTGAAGATATTGAATAAAATAGAAGTTGCTGTTAGAAAGGGTGAAAAATGTTATTAAACAAGATTAAAGAGATAAGATGATGAAGCACTTCAGTATTCTCATTAGTTATGTTTTAAAATTCAACTCTGAATTATATATATGAAGGATGTGCCCCTCTGATAAAAAATCAGAAAACATCTCAATATCAGAAACCAAGAGTAAAGCTAAATCTACTCACATATGATGAGCATGCTTTAAAAATAACAATTTTAAAGATAGATGATCAAAAGATAGATGATTCTTATTAGGTTAGAAGGAGTGAGTATATACGGGACATGAAGATCTAGTAAATTGTCATAGAAGGAGAATAAAATTAGTGTCATCCTTGAAGACCAGTGCTTAGAAATGCATTAACTGCCAAATGTAGAATGTATTTATTCATCCCATATTTTGAAATTAATTATTCTAGTTTCGCTATTACAATCAATGGCATGATGTCATACTTGTAGATATATTATGAAGTACACTTGTAAGTCTATCTATGGTGCATTTTTTTTTAGCAATTCTTGATTAAATTTTTAGTCCCATAGTGTAGGAAAATAAAAATCCCCTAGATCTTTCAATGCTCTGGCAAAAGCCCTAACCTCTGAGACTCTTCACATAGCAGGAGCATTTTATCTGTAGCCATTTGTCTAGTTAATTGCTCTAATGATTTGAAGGGATAATAAAACTTTCCTTACTCCCTGAGAAAGACAAATGCTTACTGCTCAAAGTAGGTCTTTAAGTTAAGCCCTAGTGGGAGAGGGACACTAGAGAGCTGTCTCCTCGGGAATTTACATGTCAAAAGGAATGAAGTCCAGGAGTTTGGAGATATCTCTAGATCCTAAAAGAGGAGATTTCTGCTATCTGTCTCCTGGTGAGATTGGAGATTGTATTTACCCACTAAAAAGAATTCAGGTGTTTTATGTATCCAATAAAACCCACTTAAATGTGGAAAGGAATACCTGCCTGGATCCTCTTTATAAACAGGAGGAAAAAATCATTTTCCCTCAACCATCATCTATAGAGAAGCTTTACAACTCATACAGAACATTTGACCTGACATCATTTTGTGTTGTCCCAATAGTAGGTAATGGGGAAGAGATTGCAGCACACTTATTTACTGCAAAGTAACTAATAATAAAACTATTTCTGATCCAGAATGCTTCCTTGGGCATATTCTAGATAAAATTAATACGGATGTATATTAAAAGCCCAACACATAGGCATTGTCAAAACATCCACCTTTTATCGTAAAGAAATGATAAATTAACTTCCTACCAAAATAACAGGAAAGTTATTTTACTTTATAAACACGAAATGCTATTAATTAAAATATTTTAGCCATTATGTTGGGTGAGAACTATTACCACATTTTAATTTTGGTTATATTTTTTAAAATATTAAAATCATTATGGTAGTTTTGAACTCTTCCTGTCAACGCTGTTTTATTAACATCACTTCATCTATTCAGCTGCATTTACTATTGCAACAATGGTGAGTAACTTCTGCCATTTTTCTAATTCAGAATATTTGGTTTCTAACAGGTTAATTAGTGTCATTTGTTAATTAGTGTCATTTTGTTCACTTTCTATCCACCTACTTCTTTTCGACTAAGATACATTTCACAATCATGGAAACTTTTTGTGTTAATTAATGTCATTTAACTATGATTTATTAAATATGTGTATGAATATATGAAAGCATATATATATGTTCTTAGACATACACTATATTCTAAGCAACAGGAATGAAAAGCTTTTTGTATTATCCCTAAAGACAGTGATAAGGGATATATATTTTTTGATTATACTAAAGGCAGTAGAATCCTCCTGGAACCCCTTTATATTCATCCTATTCTTAGCTTTTTTCTGGCCTTCCACAGAGAATCTTGTGTTATTTTCACTTAAATTCT